TACCATATCGGATACTGGCTAGAGATTCAATTTAATTGTATTGGTCAGTATTGGATGTACTGTTTATATTGGTAGATATTGGATAATGCAAGCTCACTACAAATATTGTGTAATCAAGTGAGCAATGCATAGTCAAATCATCATTTTTTTGACATCATCAAAAAAGCACTAATTAAATGTCAAAGTTTTGGTCAATGATTTCGGCAGAAAAAAAATCATTTCTGCTACCTAAATTTCAGTGCATCACTACTTTTATATTTAGATTTAATTTTCATAAATCTAACACACAAGTTTAATCTTTAAAAGCACAATTTAATATCTAATAACATCTGCAGAAAATCTCAAAACGAAAATGCAATTTTCATTCTGTACATTATAGTTTTGTGACGCCTAAATTCATTTGTAGCATTTAAAAAACAGATATTATTTTTTTTTATTTGCTAACTATACATTTTAAAGCCAGACATTTGTTGGTTGATCAGCATAAAACGACAAAAGCACATATGAAAATGACAAACTTAAACTAAAATTAACATGAAATACTGAAAAAAAGCTACTTCAAAAGATTAATAAATGCTATACTAGTATATAAATAATGCTAAAATAACACTGATCCCTAGTAAAACGATTTAAAGAAATATTTACATTTTTATCTTGGTTTAGTCTGTAATTAGTTTATATAAAAACAGTACGTTTATGACAGGTACAAATGTTCAGAGCTACAAGGTTTTTTTGTCAACTAGATTTCAAGCATCATACGCCGCCTCTGTCCCTGCATTGATACTGCTCATAATAAGCTTCCTTTACAACACTCTTATGAAGAGTTCAGATGTCACAGGAAGCATGAACCCATGCGTACATACAGTATGTGAGACTGAATGAAAGTGTGTGTTTGTATCTGCTACTGGTGGTTCATTTCTTTGATAAAGATCCACAGCGCGTCTGATTCCTCTCACTGCTGCCCTCCGTCCATCTCTTTCTATCCGTTCCTTTCATCAGCAGAGAAATGAAACGTCAGAGTTTGTGTTCCTCACTGTTCCCAACCTTAAAGGGCTCAGATAATCGAAAACAAGGTTTTTGTACCTTTTTTGAAATAGTGTTCGAGACCCAAAGGTTCACTCAAACACAAAACTAAACTGCAAAAATGGCTCATTCAGAAATCACAATCTTTTAATAAACAAAAACATTTTTGATATCATTGTTTTTATATTAATATACGATAAGTGGTGAATTCTTGAGACTTTTTGACTGATTCATCAAAACAACAGGAGACATTTGTGTGTGAATCAGACTTCGTACATCCAGCAAAAACAATGCAGTACTAAACATGTTGTATATGATTGTACCCAGTCTTTTTATATCATCACATTTGATTCAGACTACAAACTATCGGAGTCAGAAACAGAACCAATCCTAATACATTTACATACAAAAGTCTTAAAAGTACAGTAGCAAATTTAGCTTGTTTAATTCAAAGGCTGGGAGAGAAGAAACTAAGAAGCTGTTTTAGTGCAATAAACCTTGACTTGAGTCATTTTTAGTGTAAATACCTCCTCTGCTGATCTCTCTCACTTCAACAGGTTGAATAGGAGTCCATTTCATACTAATCTTTCCCCAATACACTCTATCTCTCTTACATTCTATCTCTCAATATCTCTTTGTATGTCTATTTGATTCTCTCTCGGTCAGCACTGAGACCTGAAGGATCTGATTCAGACTCCACCGGCACCAAAGCAAATAAGAAACATGGCAGCATGTATTTATATGGCTCTTTACTGTTCAGTCAGACTGCAGGAGACAATTGTTAAATTCACACAATTCACACCTGTTAAACTACTTTGTTAATGTTTCTTACTACCTAGCAACTGCCCAGAATACCCTAGCAACCCTTTGGAATGCATTAGCAACCACATTTCACCAGCTTAAGCAAATTTTTAATTATTTTAAATTAAAGGGGTCATATGATGCGATTTCAAGTTTTCCTTTCTCTTTGGTGTGTTACAAGTTGTTTGTAAATAGATAAGATGCAACAAATGCCTTGTTTATAATGTGTTTTAATGTTTTTGTCTTGGCGCTCCGGGACACGGCATCACAGTATGGTGAGGGGCGTAACATTTCCGTCACACGCTTGAAGTATTCGGCCAATCACAATGCACTGGATAGCTGGCCAATCAGAGCACACCTCGCTTTTCAGACCGATGAGCTTTGTAAAAATCGACGCATTTCAGAAAGGCGGGGCATAGAGGAGCAACAATAATGTACAGTATGTGGAAAATAATGTGTTTTTTGAACCTAAACACATTGCATTACACCAAATACACAACATAATATTCTTTAATATTTAGCAACGTCATATGACCCCTTTAATAACCCTGTCAGAATTCATTTAAATGTATTACATAATTTTTAACAGCTATTTTTTTTATACAATAATAACATAAAACAATTAGTTACATTACATTAATTATTTTATAATTTCATTTTGACAGATTAATTCTTATTCTTCTCAGAACATCCTAACTGTGAATGTGCTCAAAACATTATGACTATGATTAGGGGTAGGAATCTTTAGTTACCTCACAATCCGATCCGATTCCAGAACGATTCTTGATCTACTTTTTCACCCCCCTTATTACTTTATTAGTTTACCGACTTGAGAATCTTAAAGTCCTTACATTTACATATCCTTACATAAGTAATTAAGTACTTTTTTTTTTTATAATTACAAATTGAAAAAAAATAATTAAAACAGTTGTATGTTTAGAATTTTAAACTAATATAACTTCAAAACATACAAGTAGCAAATAATAAAGAGGAGCATAGAAACATTATACAAACAACAAACAAAGAGTGCTTTCAGTATTTAAGATTATCTGAACGTTTTCCATTCAAGAACTGTGAGTGATTTTTCTTCATCTTTACTGTTGTTTTTTTACTATGACATCATCGACAGCGGGAGATCTATTAAGCTGCATTCACGCACGGATCTCATTTGAAATCTCGAGTGGTGTATGTGTGTGAGGAATTGGAAGCAAGCAGAATACAGGTGTTTCTAAAGCAAACTCAGTGTCACCGCGCATCTGGTTAAAAACTAAGCTCAGAATCGACCTAGAATCGTTGGAGAGAGAATCACGATGCATCGATGAATCAATTTTTTCTCCCACCCCTAACTATGATACAGCTTTGTTCACATATAACATAAAAATATAACTTTCTTCAATTTCTTAAAGGGACAGTTCACCCAAAAATGAAAATTCTCACTTGCTCACCCTCAAGTTGTTTCAAACCTGTAGGAGTTTCTGTTGAGCACAAAAGAAGATATTTTGAAGTATGTTAATTACCAAACAGTTGCTGGTAGTCACTGATTTCCAAATACTATGGATGTCAATGGCTACCATCAATTGTTTGGTTACCAACATTCTTCAAAATATCTTTTGTGGTGGAACAAGTGAAGGGTGAGTAAATGATGACAGAATTTTCATTTTTTGGGGGGGGAGGTTAACTAACCCTTTAAGCTGAATCCCCAGAATTTCACCAATGTATTCATCAACCTCCTGGACAGCAACCAGTCTGGCTTCAGAAGTGGACATTCAACCAAGACTGCCCAGTTCTCAGATGTTGAAGCCCTAAGACTAGCAAGAGCAGCTTCCAAATCCCCAATACTTATCTTGCTGGATCTGTCCACTGCTTTCAACACAGTTGAACCAGATCCTCCTGTCAACCCTCATGGCAAAGGGAATCTCAGGAACTGCACTCCAGTGGTTTGAGTCTTATCTCCTTCAAGGTCCTTCAAGATATCTTGGTTGCAACATCTAACTACTGGGGTGCCTCAGGGCTCAGTTCTTGGACCACTTCTCTTCTCTGTCTACATGGCATCACTAGGTTCTGTCATTCAGAAACATGGCTTTTCATATCACTGCTATGCTGATGACACTCAACTCTTCCTCTCATGCCATCCTGATGATCCGACGATAGATGCTCGCATCTCAGCTTGTCTAACAGACATTTCTTGCTGAATGAAGATCCATCACCTTCAACTCAACCTTGCGTAGACAAAACTGCTTGTGGCTTCAGCAAACCCATCACCATCCAGCTAGGCGCATCAACCATAACACCTTCCAGGACAGTCAGGAACCTTGGAGTTATGATTGATGATCAGCTGAATTTCTCAGACCACATTGTTAGAACTGCCCGGTCCTGCAGATTTGCTTTATACAACATTAGGAAGATCAGGCCCTTTCTATCAGAACATGCTACAGAAATCCTTGTTCAAGCTCTTGTTCTGTCCAGGCTGGACTATTGCAACGCTCTCTTGGCAGGCCTTCCAGCCACTTCTATAAAACCTCTGCAACTAATCCAGAATGCAGCAGCAAGATTAGTCTTTAATGAGCCAAAAAGTGCACATGTCACACCTCTGTTCAGCAATTTGCACTGGCTACCAACAGCCGCTCATATAAAATTCAAGGCATTGATGTTTGTCTACAAAACAACCAAAGGCTCTGCAACACTTTACCTAAATCCACTACTTCTGTTCTGACTTATGTGCCCTCCAGAAGCTTGCGTTCTGCAAGTGAACATCACATTATAGTGCCTTCGCAAAGAGGCATAAAATCTCTTTCACAGACTTTTACCTTAACTGTTCCCTCCTGGTGGAATGACCTGCCCAACTCAATCCGAGCAGCGGAGTCCTTAACTATCTTCAGGAAACTGCTAAAGACACATCTCTTCCATCGACACTTGACCCTCTAACACTAGCACGCTCTATTATATTTCTAGTTGCTTTCTTAAAAAAAAAAACATACTAACCAAGACTTGTCACATCACTTACATATTGTTGCTCTTTTGTTAGTTTGATTGCTTATGTTATCCTCGTTTGTAAGTCGCTTTGGATAAAAGAATAAATGACTACATGTAATGTATAAATGTATTCAGTTCAAGCATGGCCTCTAAATGGAAAAACCTTAAATTTACAGTAAAGATAGTAGAGTTTGCAGACTCACATGCTTCCAGTGGCCGAGCTGCTGTCGGTGGGCAGAGAGCCATTGGAGCGCTCCATCTGTGCCAACCTGAACGGACAGAGACCCAAACCAATACGGGATCAATACGACAGTATCACTGTTTATTAGCATTAAAAGGATGCAGTTTATGGATTTGTGTACCTCTGAGGCTCCACCATGACTGAGCATGTTTATTTATGTGTTTCTTGATGGATGAGAATATAAAACCATAAAAATGTAAATTCAAAGTATGAGTTCTGGTGTGGCCAAGTGGGTTGGACACAACCAATCAAAGCTCAATACTGAATAACTCTGCATCGTAGATAGTGCTAGTGTCAGGAGCTTTACTTTCTCTCTCTCTCACACACACACACACACACACTCAGGACTGAAGACTCGTCCCGACGGATTACCGTCTCATAGAGTTCCTATAATAGGATTGAGGCTTCAGTCATAGTCTCCCCATAATATCCCATAATAACCTCCTGTGTGTGTGATAGTGACTTTGAGAGAAACTAGCTGATGGTGAAAATCCATTTTCGAGTCTTTACGGGTAGAAGGTCAACGCTGGAAGCATAGTATGTTTTTTTTCTTCCCTTTGAACAGGTGCACACACACACACACACACACTCAGGACTGAAGACTCGTCCCGACGGATTACCGTCTCATAGAGTTCCTATAATAGGATTGAGGCTTCAGTCATAGTCTCCCCATAATATTCCATAATAACCTCCTGTGTGTGTGATAGTGACTTTGAGAGAAACTAGCTGACAGTGAAAATCCATTTTCGAGTCTTTACAGGTAGAAGGTCAACACTGGAAGCATAGTATGTTTTTTTTCTTCCCTTTGAACAGGTGTAGATGAAATTGATAGTGCCTAATATATTGTATATGGCACCAGATTAAATTGCCTTTGGCAGAGAGTCAGAGGTCTAACGGAGCATGTGTGTGTTTATACTGCTCCTCTGTCACCACTTTCATTTGTGGTGTTGCAGTATGACAGCATGAGGGCAGCTGATCTTATGATATGGTTACATCACAGAAAAACGTAAATACTAACTCTAATGATGACAGAGAATGTGAAATTAAACAGAAATTACAGAAATTATTAGTACTTTATCACAAATTAATAACTTTAATTTTAATTTATTTAGTATTAATTGCTAGTAATTAGTACTAATGATTATTGCTAAATTTGGAATAATATTAGTTATTACTGGTGCTAGGGCAGAATAAGTCCATGTGCATACATATCGTTGTTAATGATAATATGTATTTACTACATTAATTCACTATATACTTTTAAAAAATGATTCAAAAACGATTGATTGATGTGTATTGAAGACTTGTGTACAATGATATGAAATAAAACAACAGACACAAGTCAATATATTGTTTTTCATTACACTGAATGTTTCTCTTTTTTTACTGAATATCATGTAATGTCTTTGAATTATCTTCATACGTTTTTCATTCTTTGCTTTTTGGTAACACTTTATAAGCTGCCATACTTATATTTTACATGCACTTACTATAGTAATAACAGTAAATTGTGCATAATTACAAGCAACAAACCCTAAACCAAACCTTAATCCTATAGTAAGTACATGTAGTAATTAATATTACTTTGTACTTAATGTACACTCTTAAAAACGTAAATACTAACTCTAATGATGACAGAGAATGTGAAATTAAACAGAAATTACAGAAATTATTAGTACTTTATCACAAATTAATAACTTTAATTTTAATTTATTTAGTATTAATTGCTAGTAATTAGTACTAATGATTATTGCTAAATTTGGAATAATATTAGTTATTACTGGTGCTAGGGCAGAATAAGTCCATGTGCATACATATCGTTGTTAATGATAATATGTAATTACTACATTAATTCACTATATACTTTTAAAAAATGATTCAAAAACGATTGATTGATGTGTATTGAAGACTTGTGTACAATGATATGAAATAAAACAACAGACACAAGTCAATATATTGTTTTTCATTACACTGAATGTTTCTCTTTTTTTACTGAATATCATGTAATGTCTTTGAATTATCTTCATACGTTTTTCATTCTTTGCTTTTTGGTAACACTTTATAAGCTGCCATACTTATATTTTACATGCACTTACTATAGTAATAACAGTAAATTGTGCATAATTACAAGCAACAAACCCTAAACCAAACCTTAATCCTATAGTAAGTACATGTAGTAATTAATATTACTTTGTACTTAATGTACACTCTTAAAATAAAGGTTCTTTATTGGCATTGATGGTTCCATGAAGAACCTTTAACATCCATGGAATCTGTCCATTCCACAAAAGGCTTTTTATTGTGGGAAAAAAAAGGTTCTTTAGATTATTAAAATGTTCTTCACACTAAGAAAAAACATAGTTCTGTTAAGAAATGTTCACTAAAAGGAATCTTACTTTTAGGAGTGTAATTACACTGTAACAACACCACCTAAAAAAAAATTTTTTAACCATTTT